TATATATTACATATTTAAAAAATAAACACTTGCTCACCCTCTTTACCTAATTCCCTTTCTCCCCTCCTTCACACGCCCCCGCCCCCCAAAAGGAAAGAAAAACCACACCCTTAGCCATCTTTTACCACTAATGTAACTGTGGCTTTTCAGAGGCAAACCGATGAAGGCTAAGATGAGATTTACAATAGAAGTAATGGCAGGAAGTCAGCTCCCATCTGTGCAGGTTTGGAGCTGCTGCAAGTCACTGAGGGTTTAGCCTATGGAGGAAAGAGCCTTTTTTCTTCCACATTACCAGGCCCCTCGGTTGTTGAGTCAACTAGAAAAGACAATCTAGGGCTCACAGGGCTGCAGAAACCAGGTGAAAGGCCTGAGCACCTGCACGGAGAGTCTGATTGGCAGCCAGAGGAAGGCTGCCTGGTGCTGGGGGCCAGAGTTCAGACAGAGCTTGTGCATCTGAAACGTTGGAGGGAGAGCAACGACAGGGAGCGAACATCAATGGAATCTTTTAAGAGCACTTGGAGAGCAATCAGATTCCTGAGCACGAGAGGTGGGCAGAAAGGGGCAGAGGGCCTGTGGCTTCAGTTAGAGGGCATACAAGGACTAGTTTATTCTTTAGTTCTCTTTCTGATAACTGGGGTTGGGGTGCTAGTGAGGGGACAAGGCTTTTCAAAAAGCATTCCTTCCTTCAGGAGGGAGTGTGCAGGTGCATAGGACATTCTTGGCTGTCATTTGGAAATGGGCCATAGATTATGAAGACTGAAGCCCGAGGAACTTGACCTCTTCCCCCTCCCACCCCACCGAGTAGAGCTTCCATTTGAGCCTTGGGATATATTTCTTTCCTTATTAGTTTTAATGATTAAAGTTGCTCCTGGATTCAATTAACTCTTAAACATACATCATTTAAATTACTTTTCTCTCTCTCTCTCTCTTGGTTGACACAACACACAGACTTAACTCTTTTCACATCTTCTATTCACCAAGTAAGTTTATTTTTTCTGCCCTCGAGAGCTCACCTCTTTTAAAAATGTGATTAGTTTCTAAGAAGAATATGGCTATAATGTTATGTATGCCTTTGGACCTGTGGGTAGGTAGAAGTTCTACTGCCTCTCTCCTGAAGTTTCTTAAGGTTATGCAGCAAAGCAGCAGCAGTTTGAAATGAATGTTAAGAACTGCATATAGCCCAGACTGCGTGGCTCAGTGGTTGAGCATCCACTATGAACTAGGAGGTCATGGTTTGATTCCTGGTCAGGGCACATGCCTGGGTTGTGGGCTCAATCCCCAGCAGGGGGCATGCAGGAGGCAGCCAATCAATGATTCTCTCTCATCGATGTTTCTATCTCTCCCTCCCTCTTCCTCTCCCTGGAAAAGAACAACAACAACAACAAGAAGAACCGCATACATACACCCATGATAGAGGAAGAGGGGAGTGAAAAGAGGAGGGAGAGAGGTCAGAAGAGGATAGAAGAGGTGACATTTCCCAGTGCGGTCAGAATATAAGGTCTTGGCAAATGTGTAGGCAGTTATGTAGGTGAATCACAGAAATAAGTGTAAATCGTGGAAGCAGTGGTTACAATGGGCCATTGGACGTAAACCAGAGGTGGCTGGTGTGCAGTTTCTCCTTCCCCCAAATCAGATATTCACTTAGGTGGAATCGACTGTATCTTTTTACACAACATAGAGAGAAAAACAGATACGTGAAACAGTGAGGTGTGTAGATGCATCACCAACATATAATGACTACCAACAATACAACACGCAGAGAGAGAAACAAGTATTAGGAAAATGGTTTAATATTGGAGACAGAAGCAAAAAACTGCATCACACAATAACATACGTTACAAAAATAAGTTTGTTTCAACTACACGGTTATGTTCACAATGAGGACAGAAGAATCAGAAAAAACTTTGATCTAAACAGCAAAAAGCAAACCCCTAAAGTTTTAACTAATACATTTATCCACTTAAAGTGACTGAGTACTTCTAAATCTAATTACCTTATTGTGTAACTGCACAATACAGAATAAAAAGTGAAACTTACCGCTGTATTTTAAGACAAAATTCTAATTCTAGATATAAGCAAAGGGAAAAAAGAAATCAAGCCAAAGTTTTTAATTCTCAAAAGAAAACCAACTTTCTTTCTATCAATCAGAAATCAAACTTGAAATCAGTCATTGTCAGGGGGCCCACTAGAGTAAGCCACAAAAATTTCCATTTTTTTAATCTCCAGTATAAAAAGTTCCACTGGTACAAAATGCATAATAAGTACAATCAATTGTAGAAATAGGAAAGCCTGCATTTTTTTTTTTGGCTCAAATTCCATCAAACAACAAAATTCAAATGCATCAATAAAACAAACAATACTCAATGGTCTTACAGTTTCCACTAGGTTGCATTAACTTTGGCTTTTCTCAGACAATATTTAAAAACTATTTTGTAATTCTAAACAAAATGATATTAATCTACAAACAACAATTCTCACAGCACAAAAAAACACAAATACATTTTTTGTATGACATTATTCAAAAAGGTAATGAAACTACAGGTTTTTTTAAAATTTTATTTCTTCTTGTTAATTAGCACTTAAGATAATAATAAAAACAACAGTAAAATGAGTCCAGAGTAGCACAAGCCAAAGAATTAGAACCCCTACGGTGAAAGAAAGATGAACTTGTTCCGCCTTAAGGACTGCCGTTGGATTACAATTCTCTAATTTAGTTTAAAAATGACTGTTCTCTACACTTGATTTTTAAAAAAGCAGTTTCGCTGTGTGTTTTCCTTCTGGCACAGGCCCTTGCACCCTTGCAGCTTTTCCCTTTTGTTATTAAAAGATAAAGTGACTAAAAGAACAACTTGTCTCTGAGGAGGGTTATCTTCTTATGAAACATTCCAAAAATACCCCCAATAACCCAGGAAGAACAGACTTTCCCACTCTGTGTGTCTTAGTTGCCTGCAAAAATAAGAAACACTCAACTCAAAGTGCCCACCCTGAGCCTCTGGTCAGCTGCACTCTATTCCTCCAGGGGAGGTGCAGGTGGGCGAAAAGAGAGGCGGGCAGGGGGAGGGCAGTTTGCTTCAGTGAAGAAATCGGAAAAAAAGGTTTTGAGATCTCTGTAGAGACTGGTACATGAAGAGATTCAGAACGAATCTAAGAAGTTCAGATGGTGTTCTCTTGTGTTCCTATGCATGTATCTACACACCACCACATACTATACGCGAGAGAGACGTGTGTGATAACTTTTGTTTCAGCTGATTGCTGCAGGAAGTACAAAATAGCCCTCAAAGGATGAAGGAAGGCCCCAGCAGTAGTAAACACGTGTGAGGATAATACAAATCATGTCATTATAAGTGCACGTGCCGTAAGAAGGAAACTTTTTTTTTTTTTTTTTTTTTTGCATCATTAGAGGCTAGTCCTTTCCATCCCTGGGCTATCACATCCACACACAGATTAAACCAAGTGGGGTGGTGAGTGGGAAAAGGAGGAAGGACAGGGAGCCAGCAGTTTCTGAACTCCGTTAGAGACAAAGAAGCTTCCAGGGCCCGCTTTCAGGAGAGCAGGAGTTTGTACTGGGGCTGCTGGGAGGACTCTGGGCTTTGTCAGGACAGCAAGGAGATCTGTTTACGTGAAGTAGAAGTCAAAGTAACATGGCACTTTAAAAAGTGGCAGCAGGAACTGATGCTAGGTATTTGGTCAGTAACTGGGATAGAGAACTGAGTTTTACTTAAGTGGTCAGTACATGCATTCAATTAAAAAATTAGACATGTATGAAGGGGAAAGGACTCTCAACTAACTCCAGACACCTTGCTTATCAGAGGTGCCCACGGAGTCAGAGAAATCCCCAGCACAATGGCTGATTAGAAATATTAATTAGGAGTATTTAGGAAACAAAAGCAAAAATACCTCAAGAAACTACCCCATTACCACATCATTTATCTGGAAGGTATATGAAAAATCCTTAACTGGAACATACCGCTACATCTGATCTCAGTAGCATACAGAATTGAAGGTTTAGTTAGGTGCTGAATCTACCCACCATCCCTCTCAGAAGGTTTACTTAAACTGTTTTTAAACAGAAGGAATTCTAGCAGCACATTAAGAATTCTTTTTTAAAAAATGACCAGAAATAATCAGAAGTAAAAAAAAAAAATGGTGAAGGGGGGAAAAAAGCAGAGAGGGTTAAAGATACTTATACATTTTTCCTGCAGATTTGCCTTGTGGAGTTTTTTTTCTTTTGGATCTCAACCAAAGGATAAAAAAGTAGTAAAGACAAAAACAACTCAGAGAAGATATATGTAGGGGGGAAAAATCCAAATTAGAATCACCCCAAAACAAACTAAATGACAGTATAAAAGTTATCAACATTCCAGATAGCTCTGGGTAGAAAGGGTTAAAAGTTCAAAACTTTCTCACCTTAGAGGTTTCCATATATTATGAAGAAAATACATTGTGAGGTTGCCATCACAGCATTGATGTGCAGAGTGGTTAAAAAAGTGAGACATGGGCACTTATACAATGTCTTACAAAAAACATCATAGAGAAATAACAAACATTAACAATTTCAGGCAACAAGACCACAGGATAGCAAGTTAACAAACTTTTTAACCTCTTTTTTTTCTGTTTTTTGTTTTTTAAATATTAGGGATTTATACAAAACACATAATAAAATACCCATGTTATCAAATTACTTCTCACAAGAAACACACTGAAGCTCTAGGAAGGAAGTACCTTTGGAATTTGGCACTATATATTTTCACTTTTTTTCTTTAAAAGAAAAAAAAATCACATTTTGCTGAACACAAACACATCTAAATAGTCCACAATAAAAAAAAAAAATGACATCAATGCTTTACAAGCCAACACAAAACTTATTCTGGAATAGTTTTTTTTCCCCCCCTCACATGAAATTTTTTTTTTTAAGCAAACAACTTTTTTTTTTGAAATTCTTTTTTAAGTAAATCAATTCTAAACTTGTCTTATCAACAAAGAACATTAAGACCATAAGACTCATGATGAAACCACAACTTAATTCACAGAAGCACCAACGCAACACAGTTTACAGTAACCTTTCTCCTGTACATTGAAACAGTATAAAATATAGGTAATTTCATGTGCATTAAACCATGGATTGTCTAACTGTGAGTCAGTTCAGCAAAAGGTGACACAAATAGGTAGCATTTGCCCCAAAACAGGGTAAATATTTTTCTTATACTAATCTACAAAAAGTGGTTCTATATATATATCTTAATGAGAAAGTGAGCCACCTAAAATGGCCTTATCAAAAAACTTTACACTGCCTGAAAAATGTAAAAACTATTACAGACCTCTAGAGACTTAAAATCAGACAGTTTTTTTCTCAAACTGTTTTTGGAAGTAGTCTGTTAGAAACCAACATTCTGTGTCCCTGGACACATATTGCTATTGTTACCAGTGACCGGGAAGAATGCCAATCCCTGTATAATACTTTCAAGTCTGTTTTATGAAAAGAAAAAAAAATAAGAAAAACATTTTGCCACAGGTTTTTTTCTATAATTATTTTTTCTAATAATAAATTTCAGTCTTGCATGAATGCAGCAATGTTTTTCACATTGACTTCCCAGAATTCATAGCTAGATGAGGTCACATGCAAATTTCAAAGGTCAAACTAGATCAAAGGTCAGTAGGAGAACCAAATATGATGTGAGGTCAGAAAGACATCAGAAACAATGACGGGACGATGAAACTTTTTTTTTTGAGACGCCACAGGGACATGCTAGGCAAACGGTGAACTAACAGGCATGAAGATGTCTAGGGAGAAAACAAGGGAGAGGAAAAAGTTACACAGAGTCTACGCAGCAGCAACAAAATCACTCTTAAGGGTGCAGGAGAAAAACTAATGCAAATCTTAGGTCATTAGGGAGTCTACTAGCCATCCACATAATTTGCATTTCTTAACAATCTTTATCACAGCACAATGGAACCCCAAGAGAATCCATCCGGAGAGGGAGAGGGGATGGATTCCCAGTGTCTTGGGGTGAGGGGCTGGCAAGGGACGGGGAGGATCCAGTTTCAACAAATGTAACATAAGGGGAAAGTCAGACAACTGAACTGTAAACTAGATAATGGAAGTTACAAACAAAATAATCAGACAGATACAAACAACAAGAGGATAAAGCATGAACTTTAGGCCTAGGGTTCAACAGTGAAAAAAAAAAACCCATTCCTAGAACGATTCCTTTAGAGACTACTTCAAAAGGATCTAACTAGCACAGAGAACTGCTCTTTAGGTACCCAATAAGTTAACAATAGGCAATAAATAACTTCCATTATTTCTGAGGCAGTAAAAATTTTGTACAAAAATAGAAATGCTTTTTTTACAAATAAAATTTACAGGCCTGTGGCTTTCTTTTTTATTTATGTATTATTTATGTATTATTTATTATTAAATTTATCTTTCAAGAAACATCAAGTATTTTCATTCATTGTTATTTTATTTTTAAACCCTGTAGCTTTAAGAAACAGATCTCTAAATCTTTTTTACATTAATCCTTTCTAAAAACTAAAATAAAACAATAACAAAATAGACAACCAGTGTAATAACCTGACCAATAAATGTCATGTTTCTTTGAACCCTAAAATAAATTCCTACTTATTAAAACAAACCAAATGTAGTGGAAAGACGTTTGTATTGTTTTAAGTGCTTCTCCTGGCTTTTCTCTTGCTCTAGGCCACCACCTTGACCTCTAAACAGCTGGTGCCCTCCTAGGGATAAACAGGACAGGAGGGGGTGAATTATCCAGGCAGTGCTCTCAGGGCACCAGGGGGTCTCTGAGTTAGAATTGCACATTAGCCTTTGTTTGCCTTTTAAATGATCAAGATGTCATTTATTTGTGTATGTATGTTTTCCTTTAAAAAAAAAAGCAAAAAAAAAAAGTGGAGATTCAAATTGCAAAACAAAGGAGAATACAGTGGCACAACTGGAGGAGTTTACTCATAGAAACAAGGTAGCCCAAGTTGAAATATGGCGAACTGGATTGGGGGTGGGAGGGGGAAATGGAGGCCTTATTGTAAAAATAACCGTCTCTCTTGGTAAAAGTTGGCAATGTGGTCCTCCTCTGCCTTCCCTGTGAGAACAGGCTGGCTCGTGGGACTTACCCTAAGAAAGCTAAAACAAGAGCAGGGAGCCTCTGGGGTTAGGATCAGTAAGGTTTGCTGTCGTTTTTGGAGCGCTTCAGCTGGACCTTCAAGCGTTTCATGCCAATCTGAAAGCCATTCATAGCCTGGATAGCAGCTTGTGCAGACACTGGATTGTCGTAGCTAACAAAACCTGGAAAACAGAAGGGGAAGGAAGGCAGGAATCAAGATGGAGAGGCGGTGCCTAGAGAAGGGGGGTCGGGGCCCCCTGCACAGTGTAACTGCAATTGGTGGGTTACATGGGCCAATCCCATGGTGAACAGGGCATGTTTTAGGGGCAACATTGGAAATTGCCACTGAAAAGCAGTGAAAAAGCGAGCTGGATGGGTAATTGGGTTTGATGAGAAAACCCCTCTGCAGAAAGCTAATCTCCAACTCAGATGTTTGAGTAAATTTAGTCTCTTTGCTTACTGATTTGTCAAATCCACTTGTGTTTAAAGTCCCTTGGAATCCTTCTGCAAGAACCCCGGGAACGTAAGTGCTGCTCAGATAAGAAGTATAAACATGCGGGGCTGGGAGGCCCAGAGGCTCCCATGTCCCAACCAGGTAGAGCCTAAAAGGCAGGATAATTAAGGGAAGGGCCGGCTATCGGGGTGTGCTGCCCGACACCCCGGCCAGCTTTCATTCTAGTTCATCCATGTCACAGAGCCTACACCTGTTTGGCTACAGGATGGGTTCAGTGAGTTAACTCTAGAATAACTTACACTTGATTTTTAACATTGTAGAATTATTACTGAGAGGCACCTCGGCAACCAGGGGAAATGCTGGGCCTTTCTCCTTGTCTTAACTTCCATTTTCAAAGCTCCACTGAGTTCAACAGAATGGAAATTGCTGCCCTTGTATTCCCAGGAGTCTTGGAAAATAAACAGTCTAAACAGCTCAGGGCTTAACAACCATCCTAACATAGTTCCCAGAATCCTCTGTTTCAACACCGCCAAAAAAAAAAAAAAAAAAAAAAAAAGAGAAAGGGCATGCTTTTGAAAAACTGATGATGCTCTGTAAAGATTAGGAAACAATTCTGATCATACAGTTTGTTCTAGCACCAGGGGGTGGGAGAGGGAGGTGTGGTGGTGCCGCAATGGTTTCTTTAGTTAATGCCTATGCAAAAGTGTTGAGCTTGTATAGTCCCTACTTACTTTTGGTAGTGAAAGGAAGCTCTCATACTAATTGCATTTCGGTTCTGAACATCAGCTGTTCAGACGGTTCTATATTAACACGTTAAGCGCCCAGCCTGTTTTGTCTTCTGGACGGAAAGTATAGTGTCAGTCACCGGTGACTGACAGGGCGCTTAATGTGTTAAGCTTCTCCATATACCTACTATTTAAGTTTAAAGTTAAAGAGAAAACTCCTTCACACACTAGAGGAGGAAGAAAAGGAAATAAATATATCTTGAGCAGAGTTCTTAGCTGACAAACATGAGTAGAAGGCAGGCTATATCGCAAAATGGTGGTTAACAGTTTTTGAAATCTAATTCCCAATAAATGTGATCTTGAATCTAAGACAATTGCTCAGATTTTCTCCTTGCCCTGTGAGTTTTCATCAGGAAGTAGCAAGATGATTGAAGAATGGGAATGGGTCAAGGGTGGAATGGATAACAAAACCTGGCCAAGAGGTTAGGATGAAAAATAGGGTCCTACCTTATGACTAGCAAACCTGGTTCCCCAAGAAATTAAACTGACCCACTGAGAAACCTCGGTATGGGATGCTATGTCTTTTAATAAAAATTGAAAACACCATCCATTATACTAATACAATTGTCTGCTGATACTCATTTCTATAACGTGCATTATTATGAACACACTGGTTAAGTAGCTTGTGGGCTGTGACATAAGCTCTTTTAAAAGCAGTATTTTCTCAAAATCAAACCACGAAGCTCAATCCCTTTCCAATCTCCAGATAAACTCAGGATATTGTTTGGTGACAGGAATCTAAAAGTCTGGCTCAAACCTGTGCAGGGAAGCTCCCAAAGGTAAGCTCGTTATGAAACTCACCCTGTGTAACAACTCACTTCCATTTCCCGGTCTCCTGAACCATTACAGGGTTCACACGCTTGCCGCGTGGTGTAATGGGTTCAGGCTGACAGCCTTCCACTTGGGTAAAAACTGACTGAAGTGGTTGACATACTAATTCTCCTAACAACAGAAGCTTCAGACCTTCCTGGGCAGTAGCACAGAGATTAGAAAGATGCTATGATAATGGAGATTTAGAAGCCAAAGCATTCTGGTTGCCCATTATTAGTTGGCCAGATACTGAGTTTGAGTTTTGGCTGTCTGAGAACCCCCAACCTTTGGAGTTTTTCTTTATACCATAGAATATTATTTGTATTTCCACTGGCCCATAGGTATTCTACTTTATTTTATGTTCCTGTTAATACCTACTACCAACACGAATTAGTTAATTGGAGGGGTGACTCAAGCAAATGTTCTTTCTCAAACTGGGCCAGAACTTCTCACGTGAGTAATAGAGACTCTGAACATTCTGGCCTCTAACTCCTCTGGGGACTACAAGGATTTGAAAAAAAGGAAACAAGCAATAATGTAATGAGTGCTCTCCTCCTGGTGTGAAACATTAGTGCCTCCCTCTCTCGGGGCAAAAACCGCCTGGGGAGGCAAAGTCTGGGCTGCCCGAGGACGGAGGGCAAGGCAGCCAGCCGCGAGGAGCTGAGTCTCCCCATGTCCTCAGTGCCGGCGCCTGCATGCTCTGCATCCGCCCAGGCAGTGTCTGCAGATCCCGGCATCCCGACTTCTGGCTCCAGAATCCCAGCACAACACGGTGCTTCCTGTGACCACGAGCTACGTCAGCCAGCCCCCCACCCCTGTGCTGCTGTTGCCGCACGTGGGGGCGGCCAGAGCACTCGGCTCCTGGGACGAGGTGTGCACTCGTGTGCAGTGAACTGAGATGCAGAACAGCAGGCTCTGGTGCAGTGTCACCTGCATCCACAGTGGCTCAGTTACATCGCACCTGGCAGGGTGAGGAACTAGTAGTAAGGTGGCCACAGTGCCATTTTGTCCCAGAACAGGCTAAACTGCAAGTCATTAACGTATTCCCACTGGGCAGAGTTTGTGGTTCAGTCTATGAGGTTTAAAGAAACTGCTGTTGCTCTGCAATGACTAACTAGTAGACATATGTAGCAAGATATATCCATAGTACAGTATACAACATTACCTAAGGCATGGGCATTTGTTTACTTTCCTAGATCCTTCCTTTTTCTACAGCCCTTTCCTCTCTCTCTCGCTCGCGCTCTCTCTCTCTGTCTCTTTCTCTCTCTCTTTCTTCTCTCTGTCTGTGTGTCTCTCTCTCTAATGAAACAACTTTTCCAACTCTGCTTACATGGATCCAGAGACCCAGAAAACACCACCACACAGGGAAGGCCCTATCCTGACTTCTAAAATATTTGCCATTTACACCTTCCTTCCCATGACTCCTCACTTTGGGGTGTGCTGTAATAGTCTAGCTTGGTTTCTTTTGCATACCAAAGCACTTGCTCAGATTGGTCTGTTTGTCAATGAAGACTTTAGCAGAGATAACATTTCCAAAAGGCATGAACATCTGCAGAATGTCCTGGTCTCCAAACTCCTGTGGAAGGTGGTAAATAAAGAGGTTTGCACCCTCTGGACCTAAAGAGGAAACAAAAATCAGAGTAAGGTATTCTTCGCTTCTTAGTTCCCACCGCCTCCTCTTAGGAGTGCCTTCGTAACAGGCAGGCTAAGCATTCGCTTTCCCTCATACTGAAAGAGTACGGAATGGATGGGTGAAATCTCATGTGCTGATGTGTCTTTTAGGAAAGCAGGCATCCTCCAGCTTTTCATCACTTCCTCAGAAATGCTGGTTAAGAATAGCTTCTTTTTCACTGATAATCTTCTGTGGGTCACATTTGCTTACTGCACATGAGCAATATTTCAATCCCGTCATAGGGTGAAGGTGGCAGACATGGATGGGGGGCGGGGGGAGGAGAACACAGGCACGGGTTTTGCTTGGGTGGCCGTGTTTGGCTCTATGTATAGAGTGTCTCTCAGGGGAGAGAGTGTCCTGTGCATTCTAAGCAAATTGCAGCAATTGAGAATAATGGATATAGCAGTAATGCTGCTTGGATTTCTCAATCATTTACCTAATTATCCATCCAGTTTTGATTTGCCAAATCTCTTAACACACAGTCTAATAATCATCTTTATTAGAAATGACTGGCAATGAGTCAAGGCAGGGAAAAATAGGTAGCTAGAGTTTCACAACTGTGATAGGAATTATACCACCGGGAATTAGCCTTGGAAATGAATGCATGAATTGCAGCAGTGAGTCAAAGACTAAGCTAAGCCAGGCTCTTCACTCTCAACTACCACTTCCTACAAACACCAGAAACAATGGCAGCGTGAGGAAGACGTGAGCTGTACTGGCTGGAGAGGTTCTTTCCATTTCATTCTCCCACCTCTCTAGCTGCCTACACAAAAACTATCTGAAGGTTAAAAGGAGCAACAGAGGAGAAAGGAGAGAATCCAAATGATCTGATAGAAGGTAATTATCTTCTAATATATAATAGGCAAGAATGCTTTCCAGCTCAAAGGGTGCTGGGGCTAGTGGCACATTCTTTCCCAGAGGGTCTGGAGAGGCCCCAAGAGGGATGCCTCTAGTCATGGTGTCTGGGAGGGAAGGGAGTTCATAAAATTGGTGAAGTAACTTCTGCAGTTGGTTCACGGAACCTTAACTGGCATTCCCAGGAGAGGACCCAGGACTGGCGGCCCCACTGAGAAGCCCAGGGAATAGGCTGCAGTGGGGGAGGGAGTCCATGGGAATGAGTCAAAGAAATATAAATGGGGTAAAAGAACTCTGTACAAAAAAAGAGGAATGAATATCTTTGCAAAGAAAAGTTAAACCGGTTTCTTTCTACAAAAAAATTTCATAAAGTGGGTGTTCTAACAAAGGAGCTTTTCGTTGGAAAACTTCTTGAAGCACATTTCTGAAGCTGGACACGAGAACTTCTTCCTTAAGTGTCAGCGTGACCAGTTTACCTGCGGCATCACTCACATTTCCAGGGACACATCCCCCCAGGGCCAAGGAGGCAGTCTGGGTGTGAAGGGACACAGCTGCAGGCTTTGGTCCCCAAATGTTTCCTGAGTTAAGAAAACTCTTAAAAATGCAAACTGAATAGATGTAGAACCAAAACACTGGGAAAGGATGTTCTGAATGCAGTCTGCCACACCCAGCCTTTGCAGTGTACATATGGGCAAATCTGGATGTTCCTTTCAAATAAAAGACCCAAACTCACAAATGAGGACTAATGGTACCTAATCTGAATTGTGAGGTCATCTCACCTCCTGAAGCTTGGGGAGAAAAGTGCAAATTTACTGTCTATGTGGACAATCCTGGCATGCTAGGCTGCGCTACAGTCTGAATGTGTCCCTTCCTGCCAGAAAGGGGCCCAAGGAAAAAATGAAGACAGGTCAACCCAAGGAGGCTTATCTTCTTAGTCATCACTTCCTCAAAAGTGCCACCATCTCCTACTACAGACCCCCCACCCCATTTTTTCCCATCAACACTGTTAACACTAAAATGAAAAAAAAAGTTGACAACAAGGAAAACCTCTCTTGGGTGCAAGAAAGGCAGCTACTGCCATAGATGCCAATGGTCAATAACCAAAGATTTTTTTTGTGAGTGTTATATATAATGTTGCGCTTAGCTGGTTGTCATTCATGTTTGTGGTTCTCACAGGGCACTTCTATAAAGCCCTGGGGGTTTCTATCAGACCACTGGCTTTCTGTTGGGTGTCAGAAGCGCTTCCTACTCTGTGTGTGTGTGTGTGTGTGTGTGTGTGTGTGTGTGTGTGTGTGTGAGAGAGAGATTTGCCTCCTGCAAGCTTGGGAAGGTATGAAAGAGGCCAGAGGGTATTTAGGTGGGAAAGGTGGTCAGCTTTTCTGGATTTAGATCAAGAGGGATGCCATAACCCTTCAGAAGATTTTAAACCATATGCTGCACATATGCTATACATGTGTTCCTGTGGGCTAACATGCACCAAGGCACACGACTAAACATCAAGCTGACTTTCAACTCTCCTGAAAAAAGGACAGAACCATGTAGTAGCAAATCTAAAACTCTATGTAATGAGATTTTTTTCCCTTCCCATTATAACTTGCCTTTTGCATTATATTTTAGTTAAACTAATATTAAGATGGTTTATATTTCTTGAGTTCACGTTAGCTAGGAGAGAAGAGGATGATCAGAAGGTATGAAAAGATGAGAAGTGATTAAAAATAACTACAAAAAACACCATCAACAAAAAAATAGAAAACCCTACACCATGCCACTGGTAGCCTAAATACCTAAATATATGTAATTTGCATTTGGCAACCATCATTTTGAACTATTTTACATTAATCCCAGAGGGTTTGCTACTGTACAAGCAATCCTGACAACTCAAGGTAGGGACTAAATTTGGGGCAGGGCTTGGGTAAAGCAGCTGAGGAGCTGTTATTTCAGGGCCCAGACTTTATCCTTAACCCACGAGGTTTTGAGTCTTCTGGTGACATTTCCCCAGCAAAGTAGGGTCTACAGTTTACTGAGAGACGCTGCTGAGTAATGGAGGGGTAACCACAACGCCAGTGGGGGGACTGGCTTTCACGGTCTCTTCTGAGGAAGTCATTACCTTACAGGACTTCCTGCTGCCCTTATTTGTCACCATTGTAGTCAGACTCCAGACAAAGGGACCTCAAAATGAGTTTTTCTCTGTGAAATTGTGTATTTATGACATAGCATCTCCACACACCTGGGGAAATAGTTGTCTGAACAGCTGTGTGTGTGTTAAAAAATCTACAATAGCAGCCACAACTAGGAGTAAAGAGAACGTTGAAATAATGAAAAGTAACTTAGATTTTCACAAATCTTTTATTTTAAACCATCTGTTATTTATAATAGACACCCTCCCCTTTTTTTTCCTTACATACGAGTATCTTTAAAACTGTGTCCCCTTTAAAATTCACAACAGTATTTCCCCATTCTAGCTTCTTATTCTAGACTAGAGGCCCGGTGCATGACATTTGTGCACTGGGGGAGGGGGTCCCTCAGCCTGGCCTGCACGTTCTTGCAGTCCGGGACCCCTCACTCCTTACCGCCCACTGGCTCACTGCTTCTTAGCGCTGCTGCTGCGCTCGCCAGCCCGGCTTCTGACTGAGCAGTGCTCCCCCTGTGGGAGCGCACTGACCACCAGGGGGCAGCTCCTGAGTTGAGCGTCTGCCCCCTGGTGGTCAGTGCACATCATAGCGACCGGTCATTCTGGTTGTTTGGCGTTTGGTCGATTTGCATATTAGGGTTTTATTATATAGGATTCTTAACAAGTCAGAAAGTGAATAAATGCAATGTTGAAGATTCTGCTTTTAAAACAACTTCAATTAAGGAAGAAGAAACCAAAAGGAAGGAAGAAAAAGAGATAAGCTCTTACTATTTTTCAACTAGCTCATTAACTATTTTATAATTAGCCTTAATTTATTCTGAACTTTAACTTCTTGGCATTCATTTTGCTTTACTGGCAGGGAAGCAAGGTAATCAATCACTTATTTGCTTTCCCAGAAGACCTTCAATTAAAGATAGAGTCGATCCCAACAGTGGATTTATCATTAACCTGGAAACCACGGCCTACTACTAGTAAGAGCATGTGTGGCTGAGAACCTAGGACTGGCTGGACAGTGCTCCACCCACAGGACTGGAGCACTTCATCCTGCCCACTGAGGAAGAGTTTCGTGTAAGGGGGGAAGTAATGCTGGTTTGGGAGAGGGGGTTCCTGGCAATTTTTGATGGCAGCAACTACTAAGTAATGGTGTATAAACACACAGTGGGTGAGAAATCCATCTTAAGAAGTAGATGAAAAATTAAATCAAAAGATAAAAGAAATATAAGACTGAACAGGAAAGAAGATCAAAACAAATGGTTTAGGTTTGTCAGGTTTCTTGAAAAAAAATAAAAGACACAAATAACAGAAATAAAACAATGGCTTTCTCTATGATACTGGCTCAGTCTAATGTCTTTGAAAACATGCTGTGAAGGTGAATGCTGCCCATTGGGCTGGCCACACCAGGCCATGCCCTGGGCCGAGGGCGGCACGTACCTTCCTTCTGGCTGCCCGCTGCGCTCTGCTGCTGCAGCAAGCTCTGGCTGTACAGAGTGGGCAGTGCCGCGGCTGCGTACTGCTGAATCCCTGAGTAGGCCTGGGTGAGGGCGTCCATGGTGCCTGCTGTGCCATTCGTCAAGCCCGTGGCGCCAAGTCCTCCATTCAGAGCCGCCATACCTGAGAGCATTTGAGCAACTTTACAAAAAACCCAACAATAGAGAAGAGAAATAGCACTTTTCATTAGTGCTTTCCAAAGGAAGTTAGAGAATCATTTGACACAATACAACAGCAAGTGCATGCAGCTAGCACACCAACGAAACCAACATGGAATTAAAATGAAACTATGAAGTCACAGCTCACAATAACGGTAAAAACACAAACAAACAACAACAGGAAACAAAACCCCCCCCCTGAGCAATGATGTCCCTCTCTCCCTAGGCCGGTGATCAACGTTCACTGAGGTGCTACAGCGACACAGCACATGTTAATTCCATGCAGGGTGCTACTGGCAAGTACTGGGGTTATCTTTCTGAAATAAAACCTCTGCTTCTTAGAGCTTAGAAGCAGGTAAAAAAACATTACTGGCAGAGACCCGAAACATCTGTACACTTAAATGCATTTACTGTGCTCTTTGAGGACCAGGAGGTTGAGGAGAAAAGGAAGAAATACAACTTTTCTCCTGTCAGCTGTCTGGTGAGGAAGTGCCACAGAAGACAAGCTCTGTACTCAGTACACCAGTGGGTTGGCAGTTCCGTGAACTGACTTTCCTGAACAGCAGGAGAGAGCGGTCAGGACTAGGAGCCTAGGAATAGGCTGGCTGAGGAAGAACTAAGGCACAGGCAAGAGTGCGGCCCTTCCCCTCACTGCAGAGACTGAAGCTGCTTATTCCGGGATGAGAGGCGAGACGTGGAATGGGGCTGTTTGTTTTTAGCAGCACATAGACAGACAGAATATGCACACACGAATATGAGCCAGTGCCCATGTAGCTGGGGCTTCTGCCAAGGAAAAGAGCTTCTGTGTCACGTTTTTCAGTCAACTGAAGTGGCACCGTGTCCGCAGGCTGGGTCTTGGCTAGTCACCGATGTGAACTGGAGGCTGGCCAGCACCCTTTTTCATTTTTTCTCCTTGTATCCTGGCTGCTCTTTTGCTCTATTATGGTTGCTGACTGTGTCATATTTTCCCTGAATACTGAGTCAAAACAAGCAAGACTTTATAGAGTGTTAACTTTCATATGAACTCAGGAAATGGAAGAGGTGACATCATAATTGCCTCTAGTTCCTTTTACAATTAATACTATTTTTTTTTAAGGATCTGTTTCTGGGAAGAACTCACTGAAAACCTTAAAGGAATTAGGGCTATTGATTAAGGCTATGAAACAGCAAAGATGACTGTGAAAAAGTTGGTAAGAAGTCCAGTGAGAACAGAGAACTAAGATAAGGAATGTTTAGAAATTATATAGAGAAATCCAAGGCCAGCATCACCTTGACACTCCCGTCAGAGTTTTTTTCCTGCCACCCCCGGGAAGCAGAGGAGGGGAATGTTCTCCTTACTCCACACGAGTTGGTTATTTTTTCAACTTCATCTCTTCAATGAAAAGAACTACATGCAAGATATGAATGAGACCACTGCTTTAAGCAGAGGAATCTCATAGTGTCTCAGGTCTGGTATTCTTCCTGGAGGCTTGAGGAGACAGAACTGGGCCCTGGGTGATGTCACCAAGTACAGACAGGACTGGGGTGGGTGGAGTGGCCAGGAGAGCCCGAAAGAAATGAGAATGGAACAAGCCTACTGAAAAGGAAGTCAAGCAGGTCTAGAATGTGAGCAAAGCTAAAAAGCTGTGGCCAGCAGAGGTCCTGCTCACTCTGCTTTAAATTTCTTCTTATGAGGGAGTTTACTCTCTCTCTTTTTTTTTCTTTTCTTTTTTGGTCAGGCAAGGTAGTGCTAAGAGCTTGGAAATAGTTTGTCCTCTTCATTAAACAGTCCCTCAGACAACTAATCACAGGTACCCCACTGCCTCTTGTCTTCTCTATCCCTGCTATTCCTGTGGCTGCTCAAGGGCTGGGGAGTAATTTCTCGTTTCCTCTTTGGTCTTATTTCATCCTCACCTGCCGGTATTTGTGTGAATGCAAAGAAACACCAGTGTTGCTTTTCTGAGAGGTGAGAGGAGGCTGTAAAATAATTCGAGCAGAGCTGCGCACAGCTGGTAAGCGCTGCTGGTTTCATTTTTGTCAGGCTGCAAATAGGTGCTAGGGATACAGACAGACGGGCATGTCATGGGCTAAGCCCTTCAGGAAGTCAAGCTCCTGTGTGGGTGGGAAGAAATTCTAGGAGGGAACAGCCACTTGCCACTCCACTTACACTCCAAGGGTCTAGGTGTGCCTCGCAGCCTACAGAGCTGTGTGGAACGCAGCGGCCTGACAAATAGGGGCTGCACACAGAAGCTCCACTACAGAGGATGTCTCCGAGTTCCCCTGATATCTACAGGGTGGTTGAAAGCACTACCCGTCCATGGTGCCTTGCCTGCTGAGGGACCCTGAGCTCTCAGGCCTCCCATGTATCACCGTGTGGGAGTGCCTTCCCGTGCGTGATTTGTAGTCTTTGTGACATGGCTTCTAGACACACAGGTGGGATTTACTGGGCACGGTCACTGGTGCCCTGCCTCCCTTCCTGTCTGGGACATGCCCTTGCTGCTGGCCAGGTCAGGTGAATTATCTGCTGCCTCTCTCCCCCTGTTGCCATTTCCCCTTCGGAAACACAGAAGCAGCACGCACTTCGTGCTCCTGAAAGGCTGGGCCGTGTTTCAGGACTACAGTCCTTGTGAGGCTTGCAGCTCCGGCCAGTGACCTTTCAGCCTCCTCCTCACACTCTGCCTGCCCACACCCCACAGTGGTTGGCTGCGTTTCTGGACTCGACCTCAGGGCAAATTTGCTTTCTGAAGGTTTCTGCTTATTTCAGCCGATTCCATGTGTGTGGAGACAGGCAGGGCTGGCCTCACCTGCCGGGGTGGGGGAGGGAGGTAGCAGAAGAGGCACAAGTAAAAGGGGTGTTGATGCCAAAGAGGGGACTAGTCAGGGCCTCTCCAGCTTTCCTTCATGGTATAACCATCCTTTTGAACAAAAAATAGGGATAAACATTCTAACAAATAGAAATGCATTGAGAATATTTAAAATAAAAACTGGGAAGTTCTGTTGTATTTGCCAAAACCCAAGGCAGAGTAGGTAACCTGGTAGAATTTGAAGGACCATCAAAGGAAGATTTCAACTTCTCAGAGTTGTTCCTATCAGTTATCTAATGTTATTCTATATGAAATAGTCATATCAAAGATAACACTGGCCAATTCAGCTACTGGGATCTGATGACATCTAAAAACTTGGGCAGCAGAAACAGGTTGGAAGAAGGTTAAGTTGAATAAAATGCTTTTCCCCTTAAAAGAATAGGGCTTTTCTTTGAAAAGGCCAAGTGGATCGGTCGTTTCATCCCATTTAATCCGGTTCCCATGGAAGGCACTTGGATGCGAAGGCTGGGGCAGAATGACAGGTGTGGCAAGCTCCCCCAAGGAAAGCCTTTGCAAATGCCCTGTCAATAAAGTTAGTGTGTATCTTGACTATAAGTGCTTTAAACTTAATTGCCCTCCAAGGTTCTCACCCGATGGAGACCTAAGGAACGGTGAGATTACTGAGTAAATCTGTGAAAATGAGAGAGGGCTCACCATAAATAGGAGCATGAACATTTCTGTGGCCGCTAGGAAGGTGGCACTGAAATGCAGGATCAGAGGCAGAGCCCCATAAGCGAACCATAGTTATTTTCAAGCCACTCTGCTAAGTTTCATACCAAACAAAAATAGAGCAAAAGTGAGGAATGTATGAACATAGATCTGAAGTTTGGTTACTGAGGTAAGCTTCCTTGGTGTAGCTGAAGCATATCCCTCTAAACTGTAAGCTGGTAATGAGAACTTAAGTATGAAGTATCTAGAACCAGGGCAGATGAGTGTGAATATGCACAATTAGTGGCATTCATATGTATGCTCGTGTTAATATGGTCACAAGTGTGTGTGGGGTTGTATGTGCTTGTGTATGTATCTAACTACATATATCTTTGTATATTCCAATGATACAGATTAAAACAGTCATTTCACAATGCAAATAACAGGTGACAAAGTCACAATAATAATAATATGCCCAACGCATCTTCTCTTTTCTCTCCTTAAAAAGAATATTTCCATAAATACTATTCACTAGGCATTTGTGGCTGGTTATATCAGACCATCCTAATTTTAAGCACTCTATGGATAAGCCATTTGGAAGGCTTAATGCCATTTTTTTAAAAAAGGAAAAATACATTTAAAAGCACAAAACCAGATACAGATTCTTGGGTGGACATATGGGCAAAAAGATTTTCATCTTAGTTTAGATATGAACATACAAAACATGCCTGGGGAACCCTCAAATAATCCACAAGTGAGCCCAGTTAGTGAATCACCCACACTCCTTGCTTCTGATCTGGACAATTTCGGCTTGTAGCTTTACTGTACTGTACTGTTTCCCCACCCCTCCATTCATGAATGCATAAAGGAAGGAAAAGGAGATCAAGCTCAGTTCAATTTAGCTACTCGTCTACTAACCAAGACTTTACTTAAGGGGGAGGTGAGAGGCCTCTGGCAGGGAAGAGGGTAAAATTTACACTAAGATGAGTGTGGGAATGAACTGTGGATTCCATCTACCTACTTCTTGGCTCCTTTGTCCATGGAAAAGAGTTGGCTCTTTGATAGGGAAGCTGAGGCCAACTATTTTAGAAGCTGCCTCTGTCCAGGTAGCTGTTTCTTGACTACCTGCTTTGAGAATTATTCGGTAGGACAGGTAGCACCATACTATCTGTTGAGGGAGAATGGTCTGAAAGGGGACACTCTGCATATATTAGAAGGTTTTCTCTTTGTATTTGAGACAAGAAGCAAATATTAGCTCCCAGCCATTGTTGGGATTGTTCAATAGCCCTGCACTAGTAACATTCCCCAAATCAGAAAGAATGTATTTTTGCTTTATCATGATTTTTGGTTTAATTAAACATTCTCCTGGTTCATCCTTTCTGGTAGGGGTTGTTTGAAACTAGACACATTCTTCATTTCCCATGAGCTACACACACTTACGTTAACCCAATGGCAAAGAATTAAAAAACAACAACTGAAGCCTGTTGTCCTTGCCAGAAGCAAAATTTGTACAACACAGATCCCACACAAGACCTAGTCACAGATTCTCTGCCATTCAACAGAGTCCCTCTCTAGCCCCTGGTAACGATGGGGAATCCCAGCAGGTACAACACAACAGGATGGAGAGAGGCGGACGCACGGATGGAAGGACGACACAGTATCATGAGCACGTGCTGAGGAGGACAGCCACTCCCACTGGCCTGTTACTTTGCAGACCAAGGACAGGCAGGCGATCAAATCAAAGTCCTTGTTTTAGGGGAACTAGGTCCTGGGGCAAGAGAAGCAGCATGAAGGGCTGTGTGCGAACACACACCTGCAACCGAGGGCAAGGACAAGTGGGCTGGAGCGTCTGCAGAACAAGGTCAGAAACAGGAGTCAAGGCACTGAGGGCTCCTGACGGGGCGCCGGAGGCAGCTTCACTGGAATGAAACATTGTGCTGCCGCACGGTTACCACCTCATACACTATTTGCTCACCGAGAGCCATCGTATCTGGAAGGAAACATGTTTCTCATTTCTTCCATTTTGGGCCCCTGGTCAGATAAAACTCAGTTCATGTTTTTGTTTGTCTTTCCCAGAGCATCTGAGTAAAATGATTTAGTAAAACCTGAATATTTCCTACCTCTAAATATATGATTCATTTTCTTATCGGGATTATAACGGCCTTCATTTGGATGAGTTCTGGGTTCCCTTTTCACCAAATAAATTGCAAGGTATTCTTTTTGAGCTTTGAAAGTATAGACTCACTGGGATTTTTATTTCTTGCCTTTTTAACAAAATTGTACTGCCCGATCACCCTTGAAAAACAGTTTATTTATTGAATCATGGCTTAAAACAGGGCGACTTTCTGCTTGGGCTGCACGGTGGGTAACCAGGTCCCCAAATCGGGATCTTTGGGCTGTCGCGGAACTGCTGGGCGTGGCTGCTCTCAGGCACCCAGCGGGGACCAGACTGAGGGAAAGACAATCACGGTGCCCCTCTGTGGGCTCAGGGCTGTTCCCCAGTGCAGGAGCCAACGCCAAGCATGAGCCTGCAATGTGCGGATCTGCTGGTGGGTACTGTGCCCCCAGGTCTGAAGTGCCAGAGTGGATAAGCTACTTAGCACAGAGACCAGAGTTCGTGGGTGAGTCTCTCCGGCTCAGAACTGTGATTCTGTAAGAGTCTGCCTCAACCTGTGGGGGAAGAACAACAGCCCTTTGGAGCTGCGCTGCTCAGTAACCAGCCCGTGAGGCTTCATAAAGACTCCAGACCACGTTCATAATGCAGCGGCTCCTCTCCGCTCAGCTGGACTTCCTTCGTTCCAAGGCCCCGCTTCCCCTCTAGATAACTGGCACAAATCTTTGGGGTTTAGAGCTGGAGGGCACCTTTCAGATCATCTGATCCAGAACTTTCAATTGTCAAATGGGAAAAGGAAGCTCAGAGCAGGGCAGTGATTTGCCTAAGATCCTGCAAGTAATTGCTACCAGATTCGGAGCGGGACCCGTGCGTCCTGATTTCTGGTCCATCAATTTTTCTATTATTAGCACACTGCCTCTCAGAGAACAGAACAAATCCCAAACCCAACCAAACCCTCGAAACCTACACATGTCTGCCAACCCCAGAAACGTATAGATGGATACGCATACACTGCATATTAGAAGGGACGGGGGATGGTGAGGGGTTGGGTGTTTTGAGGCAAAATGAACCTAGACAGCGTCTGCCTATCAAAGCATGCGCTCCTCCATCCCAAGTATTAGTTCTCCCTGTTATGTATCCTTTTTAGGTCACTTCTGGCTGACCGTTTTCTGTGGAGAATTTGGGGGAAGGCTGTCCACCAGAGCAGCAAATACTCACTGTTTATGGTACCTGCGAGTGCATTAATATTATTCAGTCCAACTGTGGCTCCCGCCAGTCCTTGCAGAGTCCCGAGAGAGGTCAAAGAGTTCATGGCCGCACCAGCAGTGGAGTTGGGAGTTGAAGCAGCCACTGAAAAGCAACAGGAGGGTGGGAAAATGGGGAGAGAGAGCACAAGGTGAGTGAGAGCCAACTGGCCCGGTTAAGTCAGCTGTCAGCACAGCAGGGGGAGCCAGGGAGTCATGCTTGTGTATTGGGTGGGAAAGACACAGGGGATTGTACTTGTGGAAGTCAGCTGTCAGCACAGCAGGGGGAGCCAGGGAGTCGTGCTTGTGTATTGGGTGGGAAAGACACTTTTGACCATTAGATTTGGTGATTAATAAACAAGGATCATAGCTCTATTTGGCCAGTGCAGTGAATACCCTCATTGCTGGTTGAGGAAAATTCGAGAAGAGGGGGCCTGAGAGATGGGTAGTCCCCTTGTGTCCTAATTTCCAGTCCATCAATTTTTAAAGGCCCCAGTCCTCTAAGCCTCCTCCTCCAGGTTAACAAATGAAGAAGTGGAGGAATAAAATGGTAACGCTTGGCTTCCTTATTGTTTCTGCTGCAGAGTTGGCTCTTTCTCAATGAAGTTTTAAAAAATAAAAATCACATCTTCTTGAGTATGACAGAAGACTCCAGGACCCTGGTGGCAGCGGTAATAAACAGGGTGGAGTAGAGGAGAGAAAACCATTTTGCTCCAAGCTCTCTTTACCCTATCTCCCCCATTCCCCCCATACCTCTTTTTATTTTTATTTATTTATTTTTAAAATTGATTTTAGAGAGAAGAGGGGGGAGGGAGGGAAAGAAGGGAGAAGATCTCTTTTAAATGACAGCTTTCTTGGAATATAATTCACATACCATACAATTAACCCTTTAAAGTATAGAGTTCAGTGATTTTTAGTATATTTACAGAGTGAACAACCAGCACCACTATCTAATTTTAGAACATTTAAAAAAGTTGATTTTTACAGAGATAGGAGAGGAGAGGGAAAGAGAGAGAAACATTGATGAGAGGGAAAATATCAATTGGCTGCCTCCTGCACACCTGCAACCTGGGCTGGCCATGTGACCCGACCAGGAATTGAACTGGCAACCTCTTGGTGCATGGTTGATGCTCAACCATTGAGCACACTGGCTGGGCTAGAACATTTTTATTACTCCCAAAAGAAACCCATACCCTTCTAGCACTGGAAACCACTGATCTACTTTCTCTATGGGTTTGCCTATTAACATTTCATATAAATGGAATCTTAAAATATGTGATCTTTTGTGACTGTCTATTTTCACTTATCAAAATGTTTCCAAGGCTCATCCATGTTGTAGCCTGTGTCAATGCTTTCTACCTTTTTATTGCTAAATAATATTCCATTGTTTGGAAACACTACACTTTGCTTATCCTTTCACCAGCTGTGGGCATTTTGGTTGCTTCCACGTTTGGGCTATTAGGAATAATGCTGCTATAAGCATTGTGTACAACTTTTTGTGTAGACATGTTTTCAGTTCTCTTTTGTATACACATGGGACTAGGATTGCTGGGTCAGATGAGAAATCTTTTTGTAGCAACACCAAACTATTTTCCAAAGTAGTTGTACTCCCTATCCTTTTTATAGCTATTATAAAGCAGCTATTATAAATATGTTAAAAAAACATGAAATGAAACTGTGCTTAAAGAATTAAATAAAGGTATAATGATAACATTTCATCAAATACTAGAGATAACAATTACAAAAATGAACAAAGTAGAAATTCTGGAATTGATAACTGCTTCTGTAAATAACATTTCAATTATCTTTCATGTGTACAGCTTTACAATCTGCTGACTTTTCTCACAAATCATCTTTATCCTGTTGATGAAGATAGAGGCTAAACTCAACCCTGAACCACAGCTAAATGAAACCTGTGGTCTGTTTCTAGCTGTGAAATCGCTGTGAGTATGGAGCTTCCTTTCCATCTGGCCCGGTAGGAACTTCCTCCTCGCCCTGGATGTTCCTGCCAGCGGGAGGCACCCTGCTCTGCCTCCCAGACCACCCAGCACTGCTTGCAGTGCGCCTGGCTTGGGATCCCTTCTGAGTGAGGCCAGAGCAAATGTCTAAAAGCTGAATTCCCCACCATGTCACATTTCTGTCCATGTACGACACTGGCTTCTGACACCTCATTATGTGTGTATCTTTTCTTTCTCTTTTTAAAAGTAAATTATATAGAATCAAACCAATGTTTCTAGTCCTTTGATATTATAAAACTTTTCAAATACAGACAAAAGCAGAGACAATAGCAGTACAAACTCCCATAAACTCATCTCCACATTCTAGAATAGTTGAGAACCAACTCAACCCCCAAATCGAAGTGTATTTTAAAGCAAATCTCAGACCTTATAACATTTCACTTCTATGTAATTTCATAAGGAACTCTTAAAACTGTGGACCTTTTCTTTTACAACCCCAAAACAGTATTAAACCTTACAAAATTAGCAATACTTCCTTGGCTTCGTTATTGATAATACCTTGTTTAGGATATTTTTCATTTATGTGTATGAATAAGATCGACCTTTATTTGACCTTCTTGTGCTGTCCTTAGTTTCTCTAACAAATGAGTGGGAGAATGTCCTCATTTTTCCATTCTCTGGAAGAGACAGTATAAGACTGAATATGTAAGGAGACATATGTGATACTTTAAACAATAAAGAATTAAAAAAAAAGACTGAATATGTATAATTTAAATGTTTGGTAGAACTTGCCAGTAAAAATGATCTTGACTTGATATTTCATGATGGTATGGCTTTAAAATATTGATTAAATTCCTCTAATAAAGAGGATTATTCAACTTTTATTTTTCCTCTTGAATTAGTTTTATTGAGTTACAGCTTTCTAAGAAATTGTGTATTTTAAGATTTCAAATTTATATTGGCATGAAAGCCTAAGGTGCTGTTGAAAACAATAGAAATCTTGGTGGTGAGCCATTAAGAGGAGAGTCACAGCTCCCTAACAGCAGTGATAGGCCAGCTGGGGGCTTAACAGAGAGAACCAGAGACAGAGGCAGCTAAGAAGAGTCCTCCTGAGGTCAGAGCAAGCTGCAAGCAATGGCCTTGAAGAGGCTCCCTGTGCAGGGGTCTGACCTGAACTGAATCAGGCTGCAGGCGCATTTTATGACCAGGGCCAAACAACTAGAAATTAGTGGAGGCTAACGGCTGGATGTGATAACAATAGAAACCGACCCACAGAAGGGAGATTGGGCAGAGAGGCAGTCAGCCATTTGGAAGAGTCATGCCATTTAAAAAAAGGAAATATAAGAATGTTACAACCCAAAGCTGTGTCCCGTGAGGAGTGACAGCAGACACATTCAGTAGTAGAATAGGTCTCCTTGAACTAGTCTAGCTAAGTCACTAAGCAAATAAGCAAACAAGAATAAATTGGGTCTGGGGGTGGGGAAATAGAGTGAGAAGGATCAGTGTCCAGAATTGTTATGATATATTACCTAAAATGTCCCGTTTTAAACAATTATGGGAAGTGCAAAGAAACAAGAAAGTGTGATCTAGACACAGCAAGAACACAGGTGACAGAGACTGTTTGAGAGGGTTTAGATACTGTACTTAGACAAAGACACCAAGGCAACTATTATAAATATGTTCAAAGAACTAAAGGAAACCATGCTTAAAGAAAAAAATGATCCAGCTGGTGTGGCTCAGTGGTTGAGCATTGACCTATGAACCAGGAGGGTCATGGTTCAATTCCCAGTCAGGGCACATGCCCAGGTTGCGGGCTTGATCCTCAGTGAGGGGCATGCAGGAGGCAGCCGATCAATGATTCTCTCTCATCACTAATGTCTCTATCTCTCCCCTCTCCCTTCATCTCTGAAATCAATAAAAATATATTAAAAAAAATTAAAAAATGTATGCTGATCATGTTTCATCAAATAATAGAGATGGAAATTACTAAAATGAACAAAAAGGACATTCTGGAACTGAAAAGTTAACTACAGAAATGAAAAATTCACTGTGGGGCTCAACAGTTGATTTGAGCAGGCAGAAGACTGAGCCTCAGAGATGTGGCACACCATTAATCACACTAACATACATGTAATGGGAGTACCAAAAGAAGAGAAAAGAGCAGAAAAAATATTCAAAGAGACAATGACCAAAAAGTCCCTATTTTTGATAAAAAACATTAATTTATACATATAAAAAAGTCAACAAACTACAAATAGAATAAAACAAAGAGATCCATCCCTAGACATGTGATAGTGAAAATGCTGAAAGCTAAGGATAAAAATCTTGAAATCAGCAAGAGAAAAAAAATGACTCCTTATGTATAAAGGAGTTCCAATAAGATTAACAGCAGACTTCTCAGAACAAACAGTGAAGCAAAAGGTGGCAGGAAGGCATATTCCAAGTGCTGAAAAGAGAAATCTATGAATTAAGAATCTTATATCCAGCAAAACTATCTTCCAAAACCAAAGGAGAAACAATGACTTTCCTAAATGAACAAAAACAGAGAATTTGTGGCTAGCAGATGTGTCTTACAGGAAACACTAAAGTGAATTCTTCAGGCTGAAAGCAAATGATTCCAGACAGTAATTACAGTACACACACATACACACACCAAAAAACAAACAAAACAAAACCCCCAAACAAACAAGCCCAAAGAACACTGATGAAGTAATTATGCAATTATAAAAGACAGTGTAATTGTATTTTTCCTCTTGTCTTCTCTTAACTGATTTAAAAATCAATTGTCTAAAAACAATATGTATATAATTGCATTGGTTGGGCCTGTAACATATGGAAATGTAATATATTTGACAATAAAAGCACAAAGGCGGTTGTGAGGACAACACTGGAGTAAGGAAATTATGCCGGATGGTTAATCAAAAAGAAACGAAGAGAACCAAAAACGATAAATAAGAGGGTTACAAACAAACTCTGTTGATATATACTTGCTCCCCTTTCTTCTTTCAGTTTCTTTAAAAAATAGCAGGTTGTATGGAATAATAGTTATAACAATACATTGCTGGGTTTGGAGCATACAGATGTAATGTGTGTTTAAATAATAGCACAAGGGGAGGAGGAGAGAGTTCTGAAGGAGATTTCTGTATTT